CGAGCAGTTAAGATGTCCTTGCTGTGGTTTTTGCCTTTCTTTTCTAGTGAGTTGAGGCCCCCCTGACAGAAGATGTTGAAGACATGAGAGAATCTTTCAGCATACCGGGCTGTTCGTCAGCGTTACCACCATCAATGTCAACGCACAGTGAGAGAGTGAGGCAGCAGGGGTCGTCATGCCTCCTCCCTCCAGTGGGAGCTTCCACTCACCGGGCCTTGGTTTTGGCTCCTCCCATTCCAATCACCTGGATTGGTTGGGTCCCCCTACTTCTCAAATGTAGCAGCCTCATTTTTAAACAAGAATGTGGGCTGCAGAGACTGACGTCTAGCCGGTGAAGATCTCGGTGGTTGGGTTGATGTAATGTCTTCACCCATAGACAAGTACATCATTTTAAAAAAGTGATCGTCTGTAAGATTGGTGGAATGAGTTACGCAGTGATGGTGTTTGAACAATTGATGGGTTAGGTCAGGGGTAGGCATTGGTGTGGCCTGTCATGGTGCCAATTTTGTCTGCATTGAATAATTATTCGAAAGTTTTAACTACTTTCTCAATATCAAGTGTGGTTTACTACCTCCCTTAAAGTTGCGATTAAAAGTTTTTATCCGAATACAGATGTTGCAAAAGAGGAGATTAAAAAAATAATTGCAATGTATTATTTAACATTTCTAATGGTGGGTCTGGCAGCTTGAAATTAATAGCAGAAATGAATATTACACAAAATGTTCCCATCAAAGTGCTGCATTCAACCATACGTGGTTGTCGTTTTTTGTGAATATGACAAACACACAGTGGTATCAGCAATCACAAACACACAGTACACGACACAAACCGCAAGAGCAAACCTGGTCCTTAGTGGTTTCTAAGTGCTGATAGATTTACAGTCAGACATTGCTACACGGCTAAACAATGAGATAACTATAGCAAGGAGAGATTTAGATGATATTCACTGATAATTCAATACTATGAGTGATTAGGAAACATATGAGACTATCAATTCATGGTGTTCTATGCTGGTCTTATGCACTTTTTTTACTGGTATTGTTTCCAATGTTTGGATGGTCTGGATTTTGGTTTTCTGAGGCTACGGTCTACAGAAACCTCTTGTTTCATCACTCTAAATCATTCACAGTCCTCCTGCTGCTGTATGAAGTTCAGCAGTTGAGAAAAGATGTATCAAATTTAAGCCGGTCAGCCATTTTCTTTTTTTTAACAGGGCCTTTCTTCTTGACAGTCAGCAGGTAAGAGACTTGAGGATCAAAGCAAGAGAAACAGTGGAACGCGAATTAATACCGACTCTGTCGAAAGCCGATGAAGGCAAACAATAAGTTTATAATGAGAGTCTGTCATTTTCACACATCAGCCTGCAGTTTGAAAATGAAATTTCACACTTGGCTGAAACAACCAGTTCATTAACCTGTAAAAATAAACGCTAGTGCTTACTGTATATCATTAGCATTAAGCTGATATCCTTAGGGAGAACTTGGCTGTGTGTTTGCAGCGAGCTTGATATTCATGCTCATCCCGTCGAATAAACAGGCTGGAATTATCCAAAGAAAACCTGCTAACTACTCAAGCAAGAGCCTCAAACAGACCCACTGAGAATCCCTGTTCATCAGGAGCATTACACTGTTTGCTCTGCATGGTAGGGTCTTAAAGACACATGCAATACTCGATATAAAAATATGGGTATTCATTCAAAATAAAAAAACACAATTATTTTTGCTACAAATTTAAGGTTAATTGTCATTTAGATGACTTATTCTTAACAGTAGATTTCTTTTGTTTTTGATAAAGTGGTTAATAGCTGTTCTTAAATACAATTTAAAATTTCACATTTTGCTAAAATCTTTCAATTCAGAAAGGCAACTTGAATAGCAATGTTGTAACATTGCAGAGGTTTAAGTCAGCGCCAGAACTGAAATAGTTAATTTCAGCTCCTTATACTCTATCCATCCTGTTGGGTGGAAATATGCAATTCAATGCGTGAAGCAGAGTTTCTGTTTCTTCCATACGTAAACAGTCTGTGCAGTCTGTCCTCTTCTAAATAATTTCTCTTAACACACAACTGAAACTAACCAGGTCAACAAGAAGGATCAAGTCCTTAATAGGGTTACTGGAAGTAGTAAAAACATCGTCCATTTTTGTTCTTTTCTAACCATGTGTTAATTTTAGAAAATGTGTAATTTTTCACCCCTCAGTTTGCCGCTCTTCCACCTATGTAGATCACTTCTGTCCTCTAGTGGAAGAATATAAAAAGAATGCCAAAAACCACCATGGGGAGTATTTTACCAAGACTGTATTTTATGAATTAGGTATTTCCTGTTGGATAGGTAGATTAACATGAGAGCTGTAAAGTGCGCCATATATTATGTTATAATATAATAAGTGTTATCCTGATGTCTTTCTTGCTTTACTAAATAATTTCTTTAACTGCATACTAAAAACGCAGCAGATGAAACTGTTTCTTGCAGAAGAAGTAAACACATCTTACTTTCAGGTTTTGCTTTGTTCTGCTTGTCTTTATACTGTATTTTGAATATTCAGAGCCGTCTGTTTTAACCTCTTCTCTGTATTAGTATTTGTCGGTCCTTTGGCCAAACAGATATGAATTCATAAACACACTTCATAAAGCCATTTGTCATTCAAGGTACATTTACTAAATAAAAATATTTATTTATGGGATATTGTTGATGCTGATAAGTAATTACATTTAGACAATTCCAGTAAAGAAAACATTTGCAGTACGAGAACTCGCTTTGTGTACCTCGACTTCATAGAGTTCTGCTTCTGTTTTGTGTTTAGTCTCTGTGTAGTAGCACCTATCCAGGGCCTCAGGAGGTCCCTGAATTCCAGGGTTGTTAAAGATGAATAAAATATAAATATTAACTGATCCATTTTATATTTGAGCTATTTTTCATTTATTGGTTGACGTTATTTATGGTAAGACGGATTAATGGAAAGATTCTTTGTGCAGAGAAGGAATAAACATGCGTTTACATGTGGACATACAGAACTTTATATGGTATACACCCTGTTCTTCCTTTTCTATTACGGGATTGACTTCATAAAAGCATAACCTCCTCCTTTCATTTCTTTATCTTTTAATAATCCTTTTGTCACAAAGCTATGTTTGCATGTTTTGACTTCAATTGTGCCGCAGAGAGAAAGGGGGCAGAGTTTGGCTATACTCAGTTAGCAGGTCGTGAATGTGAAATCCAATCCAGAGACATATATGCGCCCGACCTGGTGGCCTGAATAACTATTTAGCAATCTTCTTGCTGACGTTCTTTTTAGGTTTTAAAGTAGCATCAGTATCATGTGTAACTGTTTCATGAGCAGTTCAAGCTTATCCAAGGGTTTAAAATGTCATCTGTGGTTTTATTAGACAAAACCCAGAATCTGATCAAATCACTCGCATTTGTCAGTAATGGAGTCAAAAAGCCAACAGCGGTTGCATTTCACAGCCACTTAACACAAATACATCCCACAGTATGGCATTGAAACTAATCCAACCCTTCAGCATACAGTCAATATAAAGACAGACATGTAAAGCACAAATGCAGATTGAATATAATATGTTTACGTGTTTTCAGTGTGGCAGACACACATTACTCCTGTAACATGTTGTTTAAACAACATGAATACATGTTGGGAAATGAAGGCAAATCCTGCATTGCTCAACGGCTACATTTATCTTTTATAGTGGTTTCTAAACTGGTGTAGGAGCTGCATAATGGTTCCCCCGGACTTCTTGGCGGCTATTTCCACCGTTTTCCGAGGCCACAGACTAATGTTCAGATAAACGTAACTTTTGAGCCTTGATTGTGACATTTAGCCATATTAATTAATAAGAAACTTTTGGAATGAACACCTGGATTGCCCATCAGCTTTTTTCATTTAATGTTTACTTTAGATTGGAACTGTTTACTGACTTTCTGTATGCAACACATTTGTTTGCTGGATTGATTCGCTGCAAATGATTACCACGGAAGGAAAAAAACAAACACTTACCGGAATACTCTATGTCAATGAATGAAAAAGAGCAATGCAAACTCATTATATTGCTTTTAATTTTGTGTGATCTGCTAAATCATTTCCACGATTCATTTAGCTTATTTGCAATATAGATCTCATATGCAGTGATTCTTTATGTGGTCGCTTCTTCTTTTTTTGTTTGGCCGATGAGCCTGAGCCCGTCTTTGGGGGCTGGAACAGACCTGCGTAAATCATTGAGCAATCTATTTTGGCCAGTGGACCTCACAGCTCTCTCTATAATAGTGTTTCGTCAGTTTCTACTTACATTTGGTGGCTCAAGCTTATGAAGAGAAAATGGGTGTAAAAACCCAAAGCTGTGTCCTATTTTTGTGGATGTATACTCTGACCTTTGTGAAAAGTCAAGGTAAGACCAAGAACTTCAAGCAAGTTTGTAGAGTTCCTGTTCCTTGTTGACAGTTGATGTTCTGTTGGTGTGTGTTATGTGTGTTCGCGGGGAGGAGTGAAGGTTCAATAATGCCAAACGATTAATATTTATATGTTTTTTGTTGTCCCATAGAATGTACACTTGAACAGTTTGTAACTGGCCCCATGTTTGATTCGAATTATGACATAACCAATCTGGCGGCCACTTACCCTGCTGGAGAACAAGTGAGAGTGGGATGCAACGTTGGCTACAGTGGCTTTTTCAAACTCATGTGTGTCCAAGGAAATTGGGAGTCAAAAGGCAAAGCATGTGAACGTGAGTTACACTCTTTTCTCTCAAATGAGTGCTTTCAAGTGTTGTTATTGTCAAATATTTTTTCATAAGACATAACAACAATATAGTGTACTACTTATTGTTGAATGGAGATACATCTGAATCATCAATGTATTTTTAGGTGTAGAAATATATTTACCGACTTTCTCTTTCATCCCTGTTTCAAGTAAGATCATGTGGCCACCCTGGTGAAGCCGACTCAGCAGATTTTCATTTGGAAAAGGGAGAGGATTTTGTCTTTGGGTCACAAGTTGTGTACACCTGCCAGAAAGGGTAGGACAATATTTACACACTAAAATGTATTGTGGTCATTTTTATGTTTTCTCATATCTTTATAAAAAGCGGTGCGATTTACGTTTGACCTTTAATAAGGCATTTCCACGATCCATGTTCTACACAATACTTGTTTCAGTTATCAAATGGTCAGTCGCTCAAACATCCGGCGTTGCTTGGCTGCAGGCTGGGATGGTGTGGTTCCTGTCTGTGAAGGTGAAGCTGAAAACAAGGATCATATTTGTTCAGTGCCTTTCAAACAAGCAAGGAAATATTGAAGAATGTTCATATTCAGTCTTTTTTCCTTCCAGCCCGACAGTGCCCACCGATCGATGTGGACGACAATGTCCAGGTGGTTGGAAACCCGGAAGAAGCAGCCTACGGCAATGTCCTTCGATTCAGCTGCAAATCCAGAGACGAAATCCTTTCCGGGTCACAAGAACTGTATTGTGATGAAAATGGAAAGTGGAATGGCAAAGCTCCTATATGCGAAGGTACAGCAGGCTTTCCAAGATTTTTTAGTCAACGGTGAGGACAGATCGCACAAATACAGACTTAACCCAGCATGGGTTGTGCTGCACCAATACAAAGAACACCAGCTCTTTGTAGTTTAGTTTGTCTTCCTTCTTGCCTCTCATGTTCTGGCTTTCTAGCGGTGACCCAAAAATCAGATAAGACTGAAAATCAATTGATAAATTTCAGACTAATCTGGAAAAAGGAAATGAGAATGTGAAAAACCAAAAATACCACCCAATCCTAAAGCCTTACCACACTTTTCACACAAGAAATATTTGGAACTGAGTCGTCATTCTTGTACATTAATTCTGAAGGTTTAAAATTGGCTTATTGTTTTACACTAGAATAAGGTCAAGAAATGGTTACTGTGAATTTACTTTATATTAAAGATGTCATACTTATTATTGTATGTGCTTTTTTACTGATCTTTCAACAGCGATAACCTGTACAGTACCCAATATTCAAAATGGCTTTGTGAATGGGAATGTAGATAAGTATAAAGAAAACGAGTATCTGTCCTTCCGTTGTAATCCTTCATACAAAGCTAATGATGGAAGACCTTCAAGATGCCTCAAAAGTGGAAGAAGTGCAAACTGGAGCCCCACACCTTTATGTAAACGTAAGTATAAACCGAGTAATCTAATTTGATGGTTGTATCACAATGGCTGGGGAAAATTGGTTCTAACAGTTAAAATGCTTAATTTCCCAAAAATGAAGCAATAGTATGTGAACTGCCACTGGGATCACAGGAGGGAACACAGTATGAACCTGTATCCACCAACGTGTTTTCACCTGGCGAAACAGTGAGAGTCACTTGTGGAAACAAGTACTGGATTGATAACCGTCTGATAAAATCAGCAGAGATTACATGCAAAGAGAATGGAGAGTGGAACCTCAGACCAGTATGCCAAGGTATGGAACTACACGGCTCAATACAAGACACAGATTATGACATTTAGTTCTTTATGAGGATCGATCACATCATTATTATTCAAATTAGTATCTCTCTTCTTCTAGAGGTTACATGCAGCAATCAAAAACCGCAGCATGTGGATTTCTGGGGTATTCCATGGCGTGGAAGAATAACGTTGGATGAGACTGCAAGATATAGCTGTGTGATGGACTACAAGAAGCCAGTAGGTTTTGACTTGGCTACATGCACCAGAGAGGGATGGACACCAAATCCTCTTTGTCAAGGTATTTCAAATGAGTGCTTTTACAATGACATTACTTTTATTTTTGTTGTTTATTTTTGTTTTGTTTTTGTTTTATTTATACACATACATGCATAGATACATACAAGTGGGAAAGGATCCTTTTAGTTTCTTATTGTTTTTCTTTACTGTAATTGCTCTGGAAAACCAAATCCCCCCCTCTACACACATTTGTTAATTGGTTAATGATATATTGTTGCCATTTTATATTTTGTGTAAATACATAACTCTTCAGAAGCTGGAAACAACCTTTTTTGCTATTGCAAAATGCTAAACTGAATTTTTATTTAATTTGAAATGTCAATAATCTACAGCTACATTTCTAACTTCCACCAATTTGTCTGGCAAAATTTGTTTTCCTTTTTTTCCATCCTTAAAGAAATAGTATATTTCTCACAAGATTGCCGTATTGATTTGGTTATCATTGGTAATACAATTGAAGATGTTCATTGTCTATTTTTCAATTCTCTCCCATCAAGACAGACAAGTCTGATTAATGCTGCTCACATTTAAAATATGTTTAGCGTGTTAAAGAGTCTCTTTTGTTTTATCAGACCAAATAACCTAAAGCTTTGCAAGCAGCTTTGTGAGGATGTTCTGTATGTTTACACAGCATTGCTTTGACCAACATCTGCTTATTTACAATGACATTAGCATGCGGAAAAATGACTTTCTTAGTTATATGTGTAAGCATGCTACCATTCGCTATTCAACCGTATGGGCTTTTCATGTGTTTGTTTTGTTTTTCAGTGAAAGGCCGATGTTCAGGATCGGATGTACTAAATGGAATTGTAGCTGGTCCATACAATGATGTGTACTACACAGCTTGTAGAGAAGGTTATAAACGTTTTACCAAAGGCTGGTGGGCAACAGCGGAATGTAAAAACGGCAAGTGGTCTGGATTGGAAGATTGCATTGGTAAATCATCTTAAATGCACTACACGCAAAAGACACGCCAAAGATTTTATTGAGGAACAAAGATTTTGTAAGGATGTAAACGTATTTAGGTTGAACCCACTCCCTCGTACGCATCCTTTCCCCATTACTCATATCTGATAGGAATACATAGCAGTATATTGTTTCAATAAGCTCTTTTCTTCATGCCAAATCTTTGATGAAAGCTAATTTTATAATAACTCATGTATTACTCCTATCACATTTTCTAGCAATGATCTACAGACCTAATCGTTTGTAATCATATTCTTTCTAGCGAATACAACGTGTGGAAAGTTGCCTGAGATTTTTAATGGAAGAGTCACCGAACGTCCTCGCCATAACAAGAAGTTCCAGATTACTTGTAACACAGGAGACGGCGTACTAGTTAAAGACCTGACTTGTAGCGATGGAGAATGGCTTTCAAATGGATTACCCCCCCAAACAATCTGTTCATGTGAGTCGTCTTGAATTTGATTCTATCAGATGTAATTCAGCATGTTTACACAGGATTACAGGGCCTAATGCTGTTTACGTTTTCATATCTTGCAGCAACTGCTAAATCCTGCAACCCACCACCTAAAGTTGAGAACAGTATTATTAAGGCTTCCTATCAGAGGGAATACTTCTCTGATTCAGAAGTAACATATCAGTGCCGTGACAATTATATGATGGAGGGTCAAGGTAAAAAGATATGCAAAGATGGCCAATGGATGGAGAACATCATTACTTGCACACGTACGTACACAAAGCTTTACACAGAGTCGCACAAAGGAAGCTCTAGGACAATTTTAGATGACATAAAGATACATATGACGTAATGACATACAGGAAGATGTCAGAATCGGCTTTACTGGCCAGGTATGGTTATGCATACATGGAATAAGACTCTGGTCCTGCCTTTCTTTCCCACATCCTTTACATAGAGTTTAATTGTACAAATACAGTAGAAAACAAAATATAAAAAGCCCACAAAACAACAGGTGAGGGTATAAAAATGTAACAACAACACAATAAAGAGTTGTGTTTTATACTGTAGCAATTCAGTTAAAATAATTGGTGGAATATTTGATATATATATATATAATGATACTACATCTTGCATTTCAGCATACTGTGACAAGCTCAGGGACGAGTCAATGACCTTCACTGCAGCCAAAGAAATATATTTGAATGAAGAGTTCATAAGGTATCGCTGTGACATAAATAATCTCGAAGGCATTGCAACATGCGTCAACACTAAGTGGAATAAAACAAGAGAATGTGAAGGTAAGAAGAGGTGTGAGTGAAAGCAGACTTGAAGTGCTGTTTCACCAAGTCTATGTCAATGCGATATTCACAAAAGATTGTGAGTTGAAAGAGTTTTAGGTCGCGGTAACCATTCTTCTTTATACTGGCTGTAGATATTTACCTCAATGCAACAACACTACAGAACACAGATGGGGAACAAAATCCACAGTCCTTGCTCTGTATCAAAAAGAAAAAAACTAAAACAAAAAGCATTAGTAAAAAAACACTTAGAGAAGCCCATTTTTATATGTGACAGGGGATCTTAATAGGGAGGGAAATAGGTCAGTATACACCAGAAATAGTGCTCATCATCTGAAAGCTTGGAACATGACAATTAGTAAAGGTTTTCTTGTCATAAATCTGTACAACAAAAGTTTAGAAAGTGTAAAAGTAGAAAGAAGATAATGATGGAAGTATATGATGGCAATATGAATGCTCTCAAGGAGTTGTTGCAGCAGTTTTGGGGTGATTACTTTTCTAACACCGATTTATTGCTGGATTTATTCATTTTAACCACTCGAGAATTGATTAAAAATGGTGTAACGAGATGCTGATTCTGATGATGCTCTAATTAAGAATCAATAAAAATACCATGAATGCATTATTCCCACTGATGTATTCTGTTGGGTCTTTTTGATAATTTGATTCCAAAACCAGGTCCTTATTAATTAAAGGTCTGGGGATTTAAAAAGTGATGGAAGGGCATTTAGAGCATTTAAGGTGTGTAATAATCCTGCCAAACTTTGCGTACACTACATAGTTTTTTAAATAAATGTGTAAATATTTTTATGTAAGTACACAACTCAGCAGTTTATATGAATGCATGTACTGTGTCAACATTAGGTCAAGGTTTTAGAACTACTTTTAAAACTGTTTAATCTTGGAAGAACAAATTCAGTGATTCTCTCAATATTGCGACTCTAGATTTATGTGAAATTTAAATAGAAGGATTATGTCAGACATTTCACTTACCCAGCACTGTTTTTAATTTCAGAAATAGATATATATGTTAACCTTTTTGAAATAAGAATGAATGGCATTAAAGTAACACACTTTGCCAATTCCACATTTGTCAAATTCTTCCCAACTGTAGTAACAAAACACAAAATCCTCCTTGTGAAAATGTGAATGTTTTCAAATGACATCTACAGATGACAATAACAATGCATAATACCTACATTATTCTCCTACCAACATACAGCATGCATAAAAATCCTAAGATTACCAGGAAAGTTGAATTTATTTTAGCTTATGTAGAAGCACAACAGTGTTAATGTTAACTTGATTCCTGCATCAGATAGTTTGCTTTGCATGAGCAGATGGAAAAAAAAACATGAATACCATAAAAAGGAATCCCAAAAGCCATGAAAATTGTAACCTTCATGAAGGAAAATGTGTATTTGTTTTGACAGGTTGAGGCCAATAAAGTGTCTGTGTGTGCTTTCAAAGTCTTTTGTAAGAAAAATACTGATTCATTTTTTTTCATTTCTATGTGATGTTTTTCTACATAGCTTTAGATTCTCTGGATTGTGGCAGCCCACCTTTTCTCACCAATGGAGACACTACAGAAACTTCTCGGAGTGACTACAAACATGATGAAAAGGTTCATTATAGCTGTAAAGCTTATCATACCTTGGAGGGTGGGCCCTACAGAACCTGCAAGAATGGAAAATGGAGTGGAGAGATGAAGTGTCTCAGTAAGTAATTTACATTCCCAGACTCTTCTCATCCAAAACTGGATGTAAAAGTAATATTGAGGTATCAAGTGTTTGCATGGAGGGGCTTGATTATGTTGAGTATTGAAGCAACATGTTATAGATTATAGAATCTATCATAGAGGACCTGCTTATCTTGCAGGGTCTATACTTTGAAACAAGTTGAAACTGTTTATCTGTTATCTTTTACAGAACCCTGCACAGTTGATAAAGAAGCCATGCGCTCGCATAATATCAGATTCCGATATACATCGGATGATAAGCTGTATTCATTCCATCTTCAATGGATCGAGTTCACCTGTACCGGTAGAAGATCTCATGTTGGCCCAATTGAAATGCGTCAGAGGTGTGTTGATGGGGTGATGCTGCTGCCCACTTGCCAGTGAAGGTTTCAGTTAATCAGAAGAGATACAAACATGAGCTGGATAGACAACCAGAGTAAAGAGAGGAACCAGAGATGTTCCTTTCTGCTGTCTATACTTCTGTGTATTGTACAACATGTAACTAATGGAATATGGATAGATGGCACAGGAATGAATGTTTCCACTACTTTGTTATTTAGTGGTGATTTGTCTTGATTTGTTAGCATGTGTGCTCTGACTTAAGCGACATTAATATTATAAATCCCAACAGAGTTTGGTGAAAACTATGTTTGTTACCTGTTTGATAGTTTATAGTTTCAGACTGCTCCATATTAAACCTATCCAACTGAAACACGCTGTCCGTTGCTTTGAGGAAGAGTTTTTTATACTGCCGAGCCCAATAAAGGACACATAGTAGTAACTCTGTCCCAGTAACACTGCAAAGAACCGTGTTATAACAAAAGCCCAATGTTCAGTAAAAGTGTTCGGCTAAATGTGTTTATTTGTGTGTTTATAACATTGTATTCGGAAGGTTTTTCCAAAAGAGCATTAACATTTAGGACAATAAGTGTTATATATAACAATGCAGTACATAGACATATTCAAATGTATATATTGTACTTTGTTTAAAACTAGAAAGTGACAAAAATATTGCACTCCTTATTAATCATGTCAATAACAATGTATTATATCTACGTTAGTCTGTTACCAACATACAGTTGAATGTATATAACTTTGCTTTGCATGAGCAAATGGAAATAAGTTTCCTTTGTAGATCTTTTCAAACTAAGCAACAATTTAAAGAGCTTTAAATAGAGAAAAAGGTTTTACGAAGGACATTCAAAAACAAGAAGTATTAAAATTATTTAGAAATACAAGAGGGACTAAAATATACACAGAAAATACAGCAACAAAGGAACTAAAAGTGCTGTAGAGGAACTAGTCAATAAAACCGAACATTATCATTTGTGATGTTTGTAGTATTTGCACCTGCTCTCTGTTGATCATTTACCTGCTGACATCCAGTCAGAAGACAAAGGAAACCTTAAACTAGTTTGTGGTAAGAATCGGGGTTCCACTTGCTGAATGTTGCTCAACGCGATGTTTTGAGTATTTTGAGAAATGAAACCGTTTGACGTACTTTGAAGTAAGAATCTACGCAGTGCAAAACAAACAGTGATCCTCTCTCATGTGATCTAATTACTTTATTGACTGATCGATCCACATAACTATTTTCTCCATGGACTTTGCTCAAGTGTCCACACTGTCCATGAAGCAGAGTGTTGTAATCAAACTATTTCATCATCAGCAGATATTCACAAACATCGAGTAATCCGTTTTAAACAAAACTACTCATATATTTCCACTCAGCTTGCCTTGTTTTACACATGATATTTGTTTGTTGCCTTTGTTGTTGATGCTGTCTGGTCAAACTTAATGTGATCATAAATGTTTCCTCACGTCAGTCACAGAAGTGTCAAGTTATCACAAAGTATGGTTTTTATTTTCTGGTTGAAAAATGTCAACACAAATGTGATTGGCTACTAAAGATGTGTATTTTGAAGAGTCTAAGAATTGATCCATCATGGCACAGAGGACTTTCTGGAACTTTTAGTATCACTCATGCAAAGCGTGTGCTGTGTGTCCCCATGCGTCATGTTGTATTATTACAGTCTTGTGATCCTACGGGTCAGTCCGTGTTATTTCCGTTGTTCCCCCCCGAGGACAACAGCCGTGAACGAGCACTGGAAACAAAGACTTTGTCGGGCTGTCAGCCTCCGATTGTGCCAAAATGCATTCGTCTTTCATCTTTCTGTTACTCCAACTGTGGATGAGCGTGAAAGTCTCTTCGTCACAGAATGGTAAGTTTGAGTGTTAAATGTAAGCGAGATCTGCTGGAAGTATGTCGTGTGTGTCTCATTGCCAGTTTAGCCGGAGTTATGCTGCTTCCCAGCCACATACTTAAAGCTGGCCAATGGAAGGAGAAAAACATTGCTTGCACACGTATGAACAAAAAGTATTTTACAATTTCGCACAAAGGAAGCTCTAGAATCACTATCAGCTTTACGTATGCTTTTGGAATTTACACAAATTACATTCTAAACTCGTAGATCATACTTGTGTACATATTCAACGTGTAATGCTACATATGTTCTCTCAAATGAGAGCACAATGTCCAACAGGCAGAACTTTAGAGTATTATTATTAGAGGTTTGTTAAAAGGTATAACAACTAAATACCACTTATTATTGAATGGAGATACATCTGAATCATCAATGTAGTTTTTAGGCTAAAAATGTATTTACTGACTTTCTTTTTCATTCCTGTTTTAAGTAAAGTCATGTGGCCATCCTGGTGTAGCCGCCTCTGCAGATTTTAACCTGCAAGAGGGAGACGATTTTGTTCTTGGGTCACAAGTTGTGTACAGCTGCCATAAAGGATGGAACAATATTTATAAACTAAAATGTATTTTGGTAATTTTTATATATTTTTTTTATTTATCTTTATCTTTTGAACATTCTGTATCACAATATCGTGCATAAAAAGCGCTGCAATTTACGTTTGACCTTTAATAAGGCATTTCCACTATCCATGTTCTACACAATACTTTCATTATATTACATTACAGGTCATTTAGCAGACGCTTTTATCCAAAGGGACTTACATTACACTTTAAACCTTCAGTTATCAAATGGTCAGTCGCTCAAACATCCGGCGTTGCTTGGCTGCAGGCTGGGATGGTGTGGTTCCTGTCTGTGAAGGTGAAGCTGAAAACAAGGATCATATTTGTTCAGTGCCTTTCAAACAAGGGGAAGGAAATATTGAAGAATGTTCATACTCAGTCTTTTTTCCTTCCAGCCCGACAGTGCCCACCGATCGATGTGGACGACAATGTCCAGGTGGTTGGAAACCCGGAAAAAGCAGCTTATGGCAATGTCCTTCGATTCAGCTGCAAATCCAGAGACGAAAAACTTTCTGGGTCACAAGAACTGTATTGTAATGAAAATGGAGCGTGGAGTGGCAAAGCTCCTACATGCAAAGGTACAGCAGGCTTTCCAAAATTAGCCAGAACGTCTTCCTTTTTTGGTCAACGGGAAAAAACACTGTGAATACTAGCGCTGACCCAAAAAAATCCGAAAAGAGTGAAAATCAACTGATCACCTTCAGTCTAATCTGGAATCCAAAAGCCTTGCCACACTTTGAAATTCCGTTGCCATTCATGTCCATTAGTTCTGAAGGTCTAAAATAGGCTTATTATTTTATACTAGGACACATGTGTCAAACACGCGCCCTTTGGGTCAATTCCGGCACTCTGGGGCCCGCTGGACGACTTTGGCATTGTGAAAATTACAAAAAGTTACGACGTATGCGTCGTCGCTTGTGACAGGCAAGAGGCTTGTTGTGTTTTTTGTATATAGATTCGTTCTGCGCGCCCCTCCTGACCCCCCAGTCGGCCGTATCGTCCGCCCCCGTTTTCAATGGTCTGGCCCACTTTTGATCAAAGTGGCCAGTATCTGTCCCAATCCTGAAATGAGTTTGACATCGCTCCACTAGAATAAGGTCACAAAGTGGTTACTGTGCATTTCCTTTTTATTAAAGATGTCATACTTATTATTGTATGTGCTTTTTTACTGATCTTTCAACAGAGATAACCTGTACAGTACCCAATATTCAAAATGGCTTTGTGATTGGGAATGTAGATCAGTATGAAGAAAACGAGTATCTGTCCTTCCGTTGTAATCCTTCATACAAAGCTGTTGATGGAAGACCTTCAAAATGCCTCAAAAGTGGAATAAGAGCAAACTGGAGCCCCACACCTTCATGTAAACGTAAGTATAAACCGAGTAATCTAATTTGATGGTTGTATCACAATGGCTGGGGAAAATTGGTTCTAACAGTTAAAATGCTTAATTTCCCAAAAATGAAGCAATAGTATGTGAACTGCCACTGGGATCACAGGAGGGAACACAGTATGAACCTGTATCCACCAACGTGTTTTCACCTGGCGAAACAGTGAGAGTCACTTGTGGAAACAAGTACTGGATTGATAACCGTCTGATAAAATCAGCAGAGATTACATGCAAAGAGAATGGAGAGTGGAACCTCAGACCAGTATGCCAAGGTATGGAACTACACGGCTCAATACAAGACACAGATTATGCCATTTAGTTCTTTATGAGGATCGATCACATCATTATTATTCAAATTAGTATCTCTCTTCTTCTAGAGGTTACATGCAGCAATCAAAAACCGCAACATGTGGATTTCTGGGGTGTTCCATGGCGTGGAAGAATAACATTGGATGAGACTGCAAGATATAGCTGTGTGAAGGACTACAAGAAGCCAGTAGGTTTTGACTTGGCTACATGCACCAGAGAGGGATGGACACCAAATCCTCTTTGTCAAGGTATTTCAAATGAGTGCTTTTACAATGACATTACGTTTATTTTTGTTTTGTTTTTGTTTTATTTATACACATACATGCATAGATACATACAAGTGGGAAAGGATCCTTTTAGTTTCTTATTGTTTTTCTTTACTGTAATTGCTCTGGAAAACCAAATCCCCCCTCTACACACGTTTGTTAATTGGTTAATGATATATTGTTGCCATTTTATATTTTGTGTAAATACATAACTCTTCAGAAGCTGGAAACAACCTTTTTTGCTATTGCAAAATGCTAAACTGAATTTTTATTTAATTTGAAATGTCAATAATCTACAGCTACATTTCTAACTTCCACCAATTTGTCTGGCAAAATTTGTTTTCCTTTTTTTCCATCCTTAAAGAAATAGTATATTTCTCACAAGATTGCCGTATTGATTTGGTGATCATTGGTAATACAATTGAAGATGTTCATTGTCTATTTTTCAATTCTCTCCCATCAAGACAGACAAGTCTGATTAATGCTGCTCACATTTAAAATATGTTTAGCGTGTTAAAGAGTCTCTTTTGTTTTATCAGACCAAATAACCTAAAGCTTTGCAAGCAGCTTTGTGAGGATGTTCTGTATGTTTACACAGTATTGCTTTGACCAACATCTGCTCATTTACAATGACATTAGCATGCGGAAAAATGACTTTCTTAGTTATATGTGTAAGCATGCTACCATTCGCTATTCAACCGTATGGGCTTTTCATGTGTTTGTTTTGTTTTTCAGTGAAAGGCCGATGTTCAGGATCGGATGTACTAAATGGAATTGTAGCTGGTCCATACAATGATGTGTACTACACAGCTTGTAGAGAAGGTTATAAACGTTTTACCAAAGGCTGGTGGGCAACAGCTGAATGTAAAAACGGCAAGTGGTCTGGATTGGAAGATTGCATTGGTAAATCATCTTAAATGCACTACACGCCAAAGACACGCCAAAGATTTTATTGAGGAACAAAGATTTTGTAAGGATGTAAACGTATTTAGGTTGAACCCACTCCCTCGTACGCATCCTTTCCCCATTACTCATATCTGATAGGAATACATAGCAGTATATTGTTTCAATAAGCTCTTTTCTTCATGCCAAATCTTTGATGAAAGCTAATTTTATAATAACTCATGTATTACTACTATCACATTTTCTAGCAATGATCTACAGACCTAATCGTTTGTAATCATATTCTTTCTAGCGAATACAACGTGTGGAAAGTTGCCTGAGATTTTAAATGGAAGAGTCACCCAACGTCCTCGCCATAACAAGAAGTTCCAGATTACTTGTAACACAGGAGACGGCGTACTAGTTAAAGACCTGACTTGTAGCGAGGGAGAATGGCTTTCAAATGGATTACCCCCCCAAACAATCTGTGCATGTGAGTCGTCTTGAATTTGATTCTATCAGATGTAATTCAGCATGTTTACACAGGATTACAGGGCCTAATGCTGTTTACGTTTTCATATCTTGCAGCAACTGCTAAATCCTGCAACCCACCACCTAAAGTTGAGAACAGTATTATTAAGGCTTCCTATCAGAGGGAATACTTCTCTGATTCAGAAGTAACATATCAGTGCCGTGACAATTATATGATGGAGGGTCAAGGTAAAATGATATGCAAAGATGGCCAATGGATGGAGAACATCATTACTTGCACACGTACGTACACAAAGCTTTACACAAAGTCGCACAAAGGAAGCTCTAGGACAATTTTAGATGACATAAAGATACATATGACGTAATGACATACATGAAGATGTCAGAATCGGCTTTACTGGCCAGGTATGCATGGAATTAGACTCTGGTCCTGCCTTTCTTTCCCACATCCTTTACATAGAGTTTAATTGTACAAATACAGTAGAAAACAAAATATAAAAAGCCCACAAAACAACAGGTGAGGGTATAAAAATGTAACAACAACACAATAAAGAGTTGTGTTTTATACTGTAGCAATTCAGTTAAAAGAATTGGTGGAATATTTGATATATATATATATATACATATAATGATACTACATCTTGCATTTCAGCATACTGTGACAAGAATAAAACAAGAGAGTGTGAAGGTAAGAAGAGGTGTAAGTGAAAGCAGACTTGAAGTGCTGTTTCACCAAGTCTATGTCAATATATATTCACAAAAGATTGTGAGTTGAAAGAGTTTTAGGTCGCTGTAGCCATTCTTCTTTGTACTGGCTGTAGATATTTACCTCAATGCAACAACACTACAGAACACAGATGGGGAACAAAATCCACAGTCCTTGCTCTGTATCAAAAAGAAAAAAACTAAAACAAAAAGCATTAGAAAAAAAACACTTAGAGTAGCCCATTTTTATATGTGACAGGGGATCTTAATAGGGAGGGAAATAGGTCAGTATACACCAGAAATAGTGCTCATCATTTGAAAGCTTGGAACATGACAATTATTAAAGGTTTTCTTGTCATAAATCTGTACAACAAAAGTTTAGAAAGTGTAAAAGTAGAAAGAAGATAATGATGGAAGTATATGATGGCAATATGAATGCTCTCAAGGAGTTGTTGCAGCAGTTTTGGGGTGATTACTTTTCTAACACCGATTTATTGCTGGATTTATTCATTTTAACCACTCGAGAATTGATTAAAAATGGTGTAACGAGATGCTGATTCTGATGATGCTCTAATTAAGAATCAATAAAAATACCATGAATGCATTACTCCCACTGATGTATTCTGTTGGGTCTTTTTGATAATTCGATTCCAAAACCAGGTCCTTATTAATTAAAGGTCTGGGGATTTAAAAAGTGATGGAAGGGCATTTAGAGCATTTAAGGTGTGTAATAATCCTGCCAAACTTTGCGTACAATACATAGTTTTTAAAATAAATGTGTAAATATTTTCATGTAAGTACACAACTCAGCAGTTTATATGAATGCATGTACTGTGTCAACATTAGGTCAAGGTTTTAGAACTACTTTTAAAACTGTTTAATCTTGGAAGAACAAATTCAGTGATTCTCTCAATATTGCGACTCTAGATTTATGTGAAATTTAAATAGAAGGATTATCTCAGATATTTCACTTACCCAGCACTGTTTTTAATTTCAGAAATAGATATATATGTTAACCTTTTTGAAATAAGAATGAATGGCATTAAAGTAACACACTTTGCCAATTCTACATTTGTCAAATTCTTCCCAACTGTAGTAACAAAACACAAAATCCTCCTTATGAAAATGAGAATTTTTTCAAATGACATCTACAGATGACAATAACAATGCATAATACCTACATTATTCTCCTACCAACATACAGCATGCATAAAAATCCTAAGATTACCAGGAAAGTTGAATTTATTTTAGCTTATGTAGAAGCACAACAGTGTTAGGGTTAACTTGATTCCTGCATCAGATAGTTTGCTTTGCATGAGCAGATGGAAAAAAAAACATGAATACCATAAAAAGGAATCCCAAAAGCTATGGAAATTGTAACCTTCATGAAGGAAAATGTGTATTTGTTTTGACAGGTTGAGACCAATAAAGTGTCTGTGTGTGCTTTCAAAGTCTTTTATAAGAAAAATACTGATTCATTTGTTTTCATTTCTATGTGATGTTTTTCTACATAGCTTTAGATTCTCTGGATTGTGGCAGCCCACCTTTTCTCACCAATGGAGACACTACAGAAACTTCTCGGAGTGACTACAAACATGATGAAAAGGTTCATTATACCTGTAAAGCTTATCATACCTTGGAGGGTGGGCCCTACAGAACCTGCAAGAATGGAAAATGGATTGGAGAGATGAAGTGTCTCAGTAAGTAATTTACATTCCCAGACTCTTCTCATCCAAAACTGGATGTAAAAGTAATATTGTGGTATCAAGTGTTTGCATGGAGGGGCTTGATTATGTTGAGTATTGAAGCAACATGTTATAGATTATAGAATCTATCATAGAGGACCTGCTTATCTTGCAGGGTCTATACTTTAAAACAATTCTGTTTATCTGTTATCTTTTACAGAACCCTGCACTGTTGATGAAGAAGCCATGCGCTCGCGTAATATCAGATTCCGATATACATCGGATGATAAGCTGTATTTAGTCCATCTTCAATGGATCGAGTTCACCTGTACCGGTGGAACATCTCATGTTGGCCCAATTGAAATGCGTCAGATGTGTGTTGATGGGGTGATGCTGCTGCCCACTTGCCAGTGAAGATTTCAGTTAATCAGAAGAGATACAAACATGAGCTGGATAGACAACCAGAGTAAAGAGAGGAACCAGAGATGTTCCTTTCTGCTGTCTATACTTCTGTGTATTGTACAACATGTAACTAATGGAATATGGATAGATGGCACAGGAATGAATGTTTCCACTACTTCGTTATTTAGTGGTGATTTGTCTTGATTTGTTAGCATGTGTGCTCTGACTTAAGCGACATTAATATTCTAAATCCCAACAGAGTTTGGTGAAACTATATATTTTTGTATATTTTCACCTGTTTTATGGTTTCAGACTGCTCCATATTAAACCTATCCAACTGAAACACGCTGTCTATTGCTTTGCGGAAGAGTTTTCTATACTGCCGAGCCCAATAAAGGACACATAGTAGTAACTCTGTCACAGTAACACTGCAAAGAACCGTGTTATAACAAAAGCCCAATGTTCAGTAAAAGTGTTCGGCTAAATGTGTTTGTGTTTATAACATTGTATTCAGAAGGTTTTTCCACAAAAGCATTAACATTAGGACCTTATTATGTATTATTATTATTATGACAGTATTATATATAACAATGCAGTACATAGACATATTAAAATGTATATATTGTACTTTGTTTAAAACTAGAAACTGAAAAAAAATTGCACTCCTTATTAATCATGCCAATAACAATGTATTATATCTACGTTAGTCTATTACCAACATACAGTTAAATGTATTTAACTTATGTAGAAGTACAACAGTGTTGTGGTTAACTTGATTCCTGCATCTCATCGTTTGCTTTGCATGAGCAAATGGAAATAAGTTTCCTTTGTAGATCTTTTCAAACTAAGCAACAATTTAAAGAGCTTTAAATAGAGAAAAAGGTTTTACGAAGGATTCAAAAACAAGAAGTATTAAAATTATTTAGAAATACAAGAGGGACTAATATATACACAGAAAATACAGCAACAAAGGAACTAAAAGGGCTGTAGAGGAACTAGTCAATAAAACCGAACATTATCATTTGTGATGTTTGTAGTATTTGAACCTGCTCTCTGTTGATCATTTACCTGCTGACATCCAGTCAGGAGACAAAGGAAACCTTAAACTAGTTTGTGGTAAGAATCGGGGTTCCACTTGCTGAATGTTGCTCAACACGATGTTTTGAGTATTTTGAGAAATGAAATGCTGAGGATGTTTCCTCAGCATTGACCGTTTGACGTACTTTGAAGTAAGAATCTACGTAATGCAAAACAAACAGTGATCCTCTCTCATGTGATCTAATTTCTTTATTGACTGATCGATCCACATAACTATTTTCTCCATGGACTTTGCTCAAGTGTCCACACTGTCCATGAAGCAGAGAGTGTTGTAATCAAACTATTTCATCATCAGCAGATATTCACAAACATCGAGTAATCCATTTTAAACAAAACTACTCATATATTCCCACTCAGCTTGCCTTGTTTTACACATGATATTTGTTTGTTGCCTTTGTTGTTGATGCTGTCTGGTCAAACTTAATGTGATCATAAATGTTTCCTCACGTCAGTCACAGAAGTGTCAAGTTATCACAAAGTATGGTTTTTATTTTCTGGTTGAAAAATGTCAACATAAATGTGATTGGCTACTAAAGATGTGTATTTTGAAGAGTCTAAGATTTGATCCATCATGGCACAGAGGACTTTCTGGAACTTTTAGTATCACTCATGCAAAGCGTGTGCTGTGTGTCCCCATGCGTCATGTGGTATTATTACAGCCTTGTGATCCTACGGGTCAGTCCGTGTTATTTCCGTTGGTCCCCCCCCGAGGACAACAGCTGTGAACGAGCACTGGAAACAAAGACTTTGTCGGGCTGTCAGCCTCCGATTGTGCCAAAATGCATTCGTCTTTCATCTTTCTGTTACTCCAACTGTGGATGAGCGTGAAAGTCTCTTCGTCACAGAATGGTAAGTTTGAGTGTTAAATGTAAGCGAGATCTGCTGGAAGTATGTCGTGTGTGTCTCATTGCCAGTTTAGCCGGAGTTATGCTGCTTCCCAGCCACATACTTAAACATCCTCTGTTTCAAATGTCTTGACAGGACTTGGTCTAAAGTTTGTAGAATACAGTTGTTAAGCGCACATCCAATTTCCTCTTTTCTTTTCTTTTCTGTTTGTTAGCATGTTCCGGTCTCCCAAATGTTCCTAACTCACAGGTGTCAGAAAACACCAAAAAAGCTGAATACCAAAAAGGAGACGTGGTACGTTTCACTTGTGATACTGGTTATATCTCCGGTCCGACCATCACTTATATGTGTAGCCCTCAATCCGGAGGCTGGGTTGCAGTCCGAGGAGGAAGCTGCTACTGTGAGTTAAATGGCTTTCTACTCGACTCATTTGTCCTTTTCTTTTTGAGTGGCCGCAGTAATCAGCTCACAGCTCATAGGATTCATTTGATGTGCTCAAATTTGTTATACTTTCTTTTAATGTTTTGTTTGATGGAATATTGTATGCAGTTAATTGTCCCAAGAAGATAATTACATATCTGCATGTTATTATTTGGAAAATGTCTCAATAACTTTTCACCTCATTTTCCAAAAGTAACTTTTGATGATAGAACTGAGAGCTGCCATTCCTTATGTTTTGGGCAACAAAAAGCAAAAAACGGATAGCATTTCTGCTTTGCAATGAAATTGTGCTATTATTAAACAAGAAAAGGTTGAAACAAAACCAGTTTACTGGATCAGTTTGCTGGATCTTTTCTTTTCTTTGTTCTTCCAGTAAAGCCATGTGAACTTCCTGATGACACTGACAATGGCTATTATCAAATAATCAAAGGTGAAGACTTTGTATTTGGTACCACAATCCAATACTTTTGTAATGAAGGGTAAGTGCATCTCGAGTGATTCATAAAAACTACACCTAATAGATAGACAGACTGAGAGCAGTGTTTATACAATTTGTTATTTAAAGCACGTTTTAATGTAGATGTAAGCAGGTATAAGGACATGTTATATATTTTACATGACCTTCAATTTTACAATTACAAATTGTCTGTCATTTGATACAAATATGTGTTATATATATAAAACGTTGTGATGTACTGTCAGGAGGAGATACGGGTTTCACATGATATTGTGATAAAAGTATTTATAACAGAAAAGTAAAGTCTCCATATGTGCTTGAAACAAACATTGTAGTTTCTTACAAATCATTTATGTAATATGATTATAAAACAACAGAAAAATAACCTCGCATATTGTTTTTTTTCTCTGCTTGATCATTTCTCTGATGAACGATGACAAACGGTTCTTTGTAGGTATCAAATGGTGAGTAGGGAGGACACCCGGACTTGTTTGCTGGACAGATGGACCAATCATGTGCCGATATGTGAACGTAAGGTTTGGAAACAACACAGGGGAGATTTGGTTAAAAGAAAACTTTTATTCACATTCACATTCACATGACAGTTACATATATTGCACTTCTATGGCGTTTATTTGCAGAAAACTCTCCCAGCTGAATCATTCTCACAAAAGATTGATTGATCTATTTTCATATGTCTGGTTCTTTGACAATGGCACTGACGTGTGATTATTAACTGTTTTTTTGGGTCCATTTTTGATGAATTTGTACCACTACAAACTGCATTGTACATGGCAACTTTGACTACTGTATCTAAACAAATGTATCCTCAACAAAAAAAAGTGAAAATCATTTAAATTGTTGGTCATAACATAACTGTCTAGGGCTGTTACATTATCTATAAAAGTCCTGTGCTGAATAACCATGAGGATATGATTAACAATGAATGCTGAACCACAACCTCCTCCCACTGTGCTTCCCTTCATTGATCTGACCGTCGGTTTGCGTATTATCAGGTATGAGCTGCGCGCCTCCGGCCTTGGTCGAAGGGGTTAGAGTTCAAGGTTTACCAGAGAATGACGACCCCATAATTCCTGGCCGCTTCCTCACGTTCAGCTGTGAAAATCCCGGGCAGGATCTGAACGGCAGTTCCAGGCTGGCATGTGGTGAAGATGGACAGTGGAATAAGCCATTCCCTTCTTGCGAAGGTAGAGAATCATTTCTAACTGTAAATCATGTTACTACACACAAAAGTGACTTTCCTAACCCTGCGGGACATGAGGCCTCCGGGAAGAGTAGTTTATTCCCAGATAACAACAAATAACTAAATAAATAACAACTAAATAATCAATGAGCTTTCATAAGATCGTTTCTCTTTTATTGTCTCCAGACACCACCTGTGAAGTTGGTCCGCTGCAGCCTCGTGTCGGCGTGACCGGACTACCAGCAGAAAATGAAAAAATTAAGATTGGGCACAAATTACAGTTTCACTGTGACAATCACTTCATAATACAGGGTTCTCAAGAAATTGAATGTCTACCAACTGGGAAGTGGAGTGACGCCTTTCCAACTTGCACCGGTATGTTGATCCTGTTGACGTTGATGTTTTCATTTGCATATTTGGGTTTATGCATGTTTTTTTAGGGACACACGGGACGTGGATGTCGACTGACTCGAGCTCAAGCTCAAAGCATCACGCATCGGATGGAACTTAAATGGAAAATTAAAGCACAGTTATTTAGCACAGGCGCCTTTTTCCATTCAAGAATCTATATATTCTGTACAAACCAATGCGATTTATATTAAAAATGTTTATTGGTCATTTGGGAGTGTTACAACGCGGATACCAACTTGTGAGGTAACATGAGAAGGTTGTTTGGGAAAAGTGTTGATTAATTACTTTTACTGAACGATGGTTCAGCAAAAGTAACTAACTACATTCGGGTTGATGGAATTCTGAAAGTCTGATCTTAAGTCTAATGTGCTGCAGCTTTAACTTCTTGACCAAACAGATTCTTTTTTTCCAAAACAGAAAAATGCCACATTGCAGGTGTTTCAGAAAGCGTGCGGCTCAACAATCATGAATCAGTAATTACCAGGAAAAACGTTGAGGCTTGAATGCATCAGACGTGGAGACACTCTTCAAAGGAAGACAGTAGTTGAAACAAATTATTTTCCTGTGTCTTTGCATTTCCATAATTATGGAAATCATAGGACAATATGATCCAATCTTAGAATGCTTGATTCGCTCTTTATCCTTCCCCGAAACCTTTTATCTTTGTGTTGAAGTTTTCAAATAGATAAAAGTGATTCTTAGTCTTAGTGTTTCGTATAAAAAGCTGGAACATTTTTCATTCAATGTTACATTATAATAAGCTGAATTAACACCACTAAAAGGAATCCAAAAGCCTTGAGAATTGAAACCAAAAAGGAAAGTGTCTATTAAATTGTATTTTAATTTGACAGGTTGAGGCCAATGAACTGGCAGTGTGTACTTTCACAGACGTTCATAAGAAAAACACTGATTAATCTGTTTTCATTCCAATGGGATGTTTTTTTACATTCTTTTAGCTAATCAGGATTGTGGCGAGCCACCTTTTCTCACCAATGGAGACACTACAGAAACTTCTCGGACCCACTACAAACGTAATGAAAGGGTTCATTATACCTGTAAGGCTTATCATATCATGGAGGGTGGGCCCTACAGAACCTGCATCAATGGCAAATGGAGTGGAGAGATGAAATGTCTCAGTAAGTCATTTACAATCCAAGACATTTTCCAAACATACTGGATGTAAAAGTAATATTGTGGTATCAAGTGTTTGCATGGAGGGGCTTGATTATGTTGAGTATTGAAGCAACATGTTATAGATTATAGAATCTATCATAGAGGACCTGCTTATCTTGCAGGGTCTATACTTGTATATCCAGTATGCTCAGTCCTTCCCCTTTAAAACAATTCTGTTTATCTGTTATCTTTTACAGAACCCTGCACTGTTGATAAAGAAGCCATGCGCTCGCATAATATCAGATTCCGATATACATGGGATGATAAGCTGTATTCAGTCCATCTTCAATGGATCGAGTTCACCTGTACCGGTGGAAGAAATCATGTTGGCACAATTGAAATGCGTCAGAGGTGTGTTGATGGGGTGATGCTGCTGCCCACTTGCCAGTGAAGGTTTCAGTTAATCAGAAGAGATACAAACGTGAGCTGGATAGACAACCAGAGTAAAGAGAGGAACCAGAGATGTTCCTTTCTGCTGTCTATACTTCTGTGTATTGTACAACATGTAACTAATGGAATATGGATAGATGGCACAGGAATGAATGTTTCCACTACTTTGTTATTTAGTGGTGATTTGTCTTGATTTGTTAGCATGTGTGCTCTGACATAAGCGACATTAATATTCTAAATCCCAACAGTTTGGTGAAACTATATTTTTTTGTATATTTTCACCTGTTTTAAGTCAGACTGCTCCATATTAAACCTATCCAACTGAAACACGCTGTCTGTTGCTTTGAGGAAGAGTTTTCTATACTGCTGAGCCCAATAAAGGACACATAGTAGTAACTCTGTCACAGTAACTGCAAAGAACCGTGTTATAACAAAAGCCCAATGTTCAGTAAAAGTTTTATCATTTTATCATCCTATTCAGATGTTTTTTTCACAAATGCATCAATATTAGGACAATAAGTGTTATATATGTTACAGTACATAGACATATTCAAATGTATATATTGTACTTAGTTATCCAGTTCATCTACTTTGTTTAAAACTTACAGGACACTTTCTCATGTTAGTTTTGGTCATGGGTGCATTTTATACTTATGTAATGACGTATTTTCAAATCAATTCTGTTTATTCTGTCCAACCCAAAATCACAAATTGGCTTCAGAAGGCTTTATAACCTGTACACATAATCTGTTCCAGGACCCTTGTTTTTGTTTTAGGAAAAACTCCCTCCAGAAAAAAACATAAAAGATTTACAATAGCTTCAATATATTTTGCAAAAATGAGTCATACATTTAGAGTAGTTAGTTTGCAAAATAATAATTGCAAAATGACTACTAATAACAACGGAATTGGCAATGGATACAGTCAAATATCAATGATAACAGAGAGCAGTATATGTGTCAGCCAGCTACTAATGATTGTAGCAGTGGATGTCAGGCAGGACCACGGCATGAAGAATCACGGCATGAAGAACCACGGCTGAGATAGAACCACCATCCATGGAAACCTGCTGGGCGAGAGAGCAGAGACTCTGGGGAAGAAGCAGTCCAATAACACATTTCTCATACTTTTCCTGCGTGTAAACAAACATACGGGCCGGTTCAAGGTTTTCAACATTTTAGTTTCAAGAATGTAAGATCAGATTCAAATTCATATCAAGAACCCAGTAAAAAGATCAAATCAGTGTGATTTTTTACACCAGTTTAATTTATGGTGCCCCTATTAGGCTTCACGAGGAGTAAATGTGCTCCTCAACGTGCTGACCTGTAGCCCACTAATGACACTGTGCACTGCTTACTGTTGGTATTTTAAAGTATATGAGATCTTTAAACCAACCATGAGAATGTTAAGACTGGTAATTGTTACCGTGAACAATAGCAAGGGCAGAGCAGCCAGGCTTTCCAAGGCCAGTGTGAAGATCTAACCTCTCCACCTGGTCTTGGGTCTTCCAAGGGTGCCCCTTCCCCGGAAAACCTCTTCGAAGGTGGCACCCAGGGGGCCTTTTCACCAGATGCCCCAAACCCCTCAACTGGCTCTTTTCCACGCAATGCAGCAGCGGCTCGACTCCGAGCTCCTCACAGAGGGCCGAGCTCTCTTCCACAGGATCTCTCGGGGAACCAGGGACCATGGGAGCATGCGTATGGCCTCGGGTAAAAAGTACTTATTACATAAAAAAATGTTATTTTCAACATTAGACTTTTCTTTAGATGACTTCTTTTTAAAAACATTAATTTAAGGATTCTGTGACTGCGTTTAACATTTACCTGTTACACACCTAACTTTTTTAAATTTTTTTTTATTTGCATGCTGACCTATAACTTTTGTATCACTTAATCCTCCAGCCTGTGGACTCCTCTACAAACTAAGCCAGGCGCCTGTTTGTGCCTTCAACTCCAACACCATCCGTTCTCTGCTGCCGGACAAGCTCCACTCCCCAAATGCCTGCAAGTGCATCGCAGATTTCTTGTCTGACACAAAGCAGCACGAGAAGCCGGGGAAACTCGTCTTTGCCCATCGGACAATCTTCCCTTCAAGGCTGCGTTCTTTTCCCTTCTGCTCCTCTCCCAGTTGCAGCCACGACTCTTTTTTTCTCCAGTTTTTAAAATATACTTGTCATAATATTACACTTGTCATATAATGCTATCATTCATTTCTTACATTCTGTATAATTACTATTTTGGATACACTTTTAGTTATGCTTTAAGCACAATAGTTTTACTTATTAGACCAGGTTTTCCTTTGAATCATATCCGATGATGACTCTAACATTATATACATACATTTTTTTTTTTTTCCCGTTTTGTGAACGCACCTGACTTTTGAATGAATAAAAGGAAAACAATTCAAACTCATAAGAAACATACATAAAAGTGTCATAACAAACAAATCCATTTTAATATATACATGCAAACCATGGAAATGTGAAAAAAGCTACAATAAAACGTACAAAATATTTTTTGAAGTAGAGAAATGACAAAATGAATGAAGATTTAAAAGCTTATTTACAACACAATGCAGAGTGTTTTTGCCACCATCTCAATGGCCCTGAGAGGGTCCACTATATCTTTGAGCTTGTCCTTCCTTAGAACCCAATCCGGTGCGAATCTGAAAAGCAAAGATGGAACGTCAATTACCGCTGCAAACGCATACACGCTGTACATCTCTGCTGAATACAGTACTGCATGCGAGCACGTGTATACGTACTTTGGCACGGGGCGGGATTTACGGGGCGTTGCTTGAACAAAGAAGCTTCCATTGATGGATGCGTTCATTTTTTGTTTCATTATAGTTCTTTCAGCGTCCATCTTGTGCTTGCGAGCTGTGAGGCGGTAAATACTGCGCAGTCTATCCAACACCTTGGGTAGCTTCATGACCTCCTGATGAAAAAAAAAAAAAGAAAACAGAATGGCGTTACATTTACACAGCTGTAATAACAGTCTTTCCTGTTCAATTTGATTATTTTCTTTAACCTTCTTAAAAGTCTACAAACCGCAGCGCGGTGCTCGTCCTGAAGGTGGAGAGCGAGGAGGAAGCAGGCTTTGGTGAAGATGCTGCCGCCCTTCTCTGCTACTTTATCCCCGGCCTTCTCCCTGTATCTCTGCAGCAGGTCCAGCAGCGTCTCCACAAAGTTTTCCACCAGATACACCGCCTCGATGGTCTTGTGGTACTGAAGGCCGAATATTGTTTGTGGAGCCGAGGGAAGGAAGATAGCGAGAAAGTACAAAAATAGAATTGGTCACTCGTTCAACCACTTGGTCAGACAAAAGAGAAGCATGCAAATGATATGGAATGAATCTGGTACGACAGGACGAGAATAATTGCCATTAAAATAAATTTAAAAAATTAGGGCTGTGTGCGATTAACGGGGCCGAGATTAATGCGCTAAAATATTTTAACGCAACTTTGTTTAGGCACACTGGAAATGCCATTTCCCATCATGCATCGCTGCCAGGATAGAAAAGCAAGAATGGGGTTGTCGTGCTGAGGGTGTGAAACACGAAGAAAAACAGAGCGGGTCTGGGTTTGTACCTTTGAGAGGTTGAGGAGGATCTGGATGGAGTAGGTAATGACGTCCATGCAAGGGACGCTCCTGTTGCAGCAGCGGATGAGCGTGAAGATCACATCGGTGGCGCCGCTTTCAGCAAGCCGCTCACAGCACTCTGGGGAAAGTCTGGTGGCGGTCTCTGCGCGCACACACACACACACACACACACACACACGCGTTAGTACTCACCCAGTAGATCACACTAGCGTAATCAAGTATGGGCCAAAGACAATTGAACGATAATCCCAGTGTTAGATTACATATTGGAAGTATGAATTGCCAAAGCTTAGCGATGCATATTCACCATTGCTTAAAAGAAATATGACCGGTCATCTCAGCACTCTTACAAAAGTGTAAAAAGAAATGGCCAAAAGCGATGGGAGAGTAACCAGAGACGGCTTACCGAGCTTTCTAAGGGCCTCTAGGATATAGGAGAAGTGTTTGTATCGAAGGAGGTAGTCCAGGGCAGACGACGTCTTGTTGCACAGCTTGTCCTCCTCCTGGACGCCGGCGGAGACTTTGCGTAAGCGGTGTCTTATTTTCTGCAACTTGGCGTCGTCATTCAGTCGGCGGGAGCGGTGTCCTCTCCATAGAGCCTGCAGGGAGAGCAGAAGGGAAAGAGAACAAAAAGAAAAGAAAACAAATGAGTTGAGAATCCTTGGGTGCACAAGAGGATTTTCACGATTTTCCATGCCAAACTGTGAGGATTGAAATGGCACATCAGTTAAATTAAATGTTATTCACCTTCAACATTACAATTACAAATTTATTTCCTTGATGTTACACCATCTTCTCATGTTTCACTTGTTTGGAGGCAATTTTGAGTTTTGGCCAGTAGAAAATATACATCTGTGATACCATAAGAATAAAGAAATAAAAGTAATTTGTACCAAATCCCCCCTGACTGTTGTACCTGAGCTTTCACAATGCCCTGCTGAACCCTCTGCTGGCGCCTTACAACGAGGAACTTGCGGACGGCACGCTGGACGAAATGCCCGCAGCCCTGTGGCGACGACGCAACCAGCACTTCGCCGCTCTCTGGGCTACGAGCACCTTTCACCGGTCCTCCAGATAGAGGTCCTCGGCTGCCTCGACTTCCCCCACCGCTGGGCACCCAAAGCAGGGCAACCGTTTAGAAGGATTCATAGACAACAGACAAACTGCTTTGTAATCACAGGCTACATTGAAGGAAATGGGATTGTGAGAGGGCGGGCCCTTGTCCCTGTATGGTAATGGACGGAGGAAGCTTTCTTTTGGCCGACTCCCGAGCCCAGTGGGCTCTCAGAGCCCGTTGGATCTTTATGGCCCTGAGGTGGTGGAAGACGGCGGCCGTGAAACAGAGCCTCCTCTTCGCCCTGGCTCGCTGTTGTTCCTGAAAAGGCAACAAAATGCAAAGAACTGTGACCTCATGTTTACCCGTTTTTTGGGCCCACATCTACAAAATCACTTTTAAATGTCATTTTCTTTCCAGACAGGCAACGGGCTCCACTCATTTTGGTATGTTCATTATCATTTTCGTCACTCTACCATGTAAAATGATCACTTGTTTATACAAGGCCAATTACCTTGTGTCTTTCGATCCAGGCTCGGCAGTGTTTCTGAAGCGTCGTGGCCGCTTCCCTCTTCCGGGCGTAGCTGTTCCTCTCCCGCACAGCGCGGAACCGCCGCTGAAGTTTCACGGCTGTCTCACGCGTCCTTTGGAAGGAGCGCCTTTGCACCGAGCACTTCCAGCACGACTGGATCACAGTTGCGGCGTGATTTTGTCGCCTTATGTCCATCCTGAGACACCAGCCTCTGAATGCTGCCTGAATGGTGACGGCGGATTGCTTGGTCTTCAGGAACTTTCCTCTCTGTTGCCTCTGCAGAACGCAGGCGCGGTAGTACCTCTGGATGATGACGGCAGACAGACGCATGGCTCGGAATTTGACTTCCTCTCTGTGCTTTCTGAAGGCAGACTGGATGACAGTGGCGGCCTGATGCCAACCTGCCACCTGCTTTCTGACCTGCCGACCCCTGAATGCTGCCTGGAGGACGACGGCTGCACAAAGCATTTCCTGGTAACGTTTTCTTTGGGCTTTGGCTGCAACAGCAGCTCGATATCTTCTCTGAATAGTAATGACGGACAATTTTAGTTGCAGGTACTGCTTGCGTTTACAGAAGGCTCTATAAGCTCTCTGGAGATCACAAGCAGCACGATGCCTTTGTTTGATCATTCTTCTGGATTTCATTCCACGGAAGGCAGCTTGTAGATTAGTGACAGCTTCCTTAACCTCCTGATAATGTTTCATCTCAGCGTTTCTCAGTCTCTGAGCCCTAAACCTCCGCTGTAAGACGCAGGCTGCCCACAGCAGTTTCCTGAAGGCCGACTGCTGCTTGTGCCGCTTAAAGTTTGCCTGAATAACAGCAGCTGCCCTATGCATCAGGGCCATGTTGGTTCGCACACAATGACCTCTGAATGCTGCCTGAATGGTGACGGCGGATTGCTTGGTCTTCAGGAACTTTCCTCTCTGTTGCCTCTGCAGAACGCAGGCGCGGTAGTACCTCTGGATGATGACGGCAGACAGACGCATGGCTCGGAATTTGACTTCCTCTCTGTGCTTTCTGAAGGCAGACTGGATGACAGTGGCGGCCTGATGCCAACCAGCAACCTGCTTTCTGACCTGCCGACCCCTGAATGCTGCCTGGAGGACGACAGCAGCACGGCGCATTGATTGGTATTCGTGCATTTGTACTCTTGCTGCTGCAGTGGCCCGATACCTCTGCTGAATGGTGAGGACGGAGGACCTCAAGGTCAGATACTGCTTGCACTGAGAGTGGGCTCTAAAGGCTCTCTGGATCACACTGGCAGCCTGGTGCCTGCGTTTGATCTCCTGCCTTAATTTCATTCCACGATATGCAGCCTGGAACACAACGGCTGCTCTTCTGCACTGTTGATAATGTTTCACCTCAGCGTTTCTCAGTCTCTGAGCCCTAAACCTCCGCTGTAAGACGCAGGCTGCCCACAGCAGTTTCCTGAAGGCCGACTGCTGCTTGTGCCGCTTGAAGTTTGCCTGAATAACAGCAGCTGCCCTATGCATCAGGGCCATGTTGGTCCGCACACGATGACCTCTGAATGCTGCCTGAATGGTGACGGCGGATTGCTTGGTCTTCAGGAACTTTCCTCTCTGTTGCCTCTGCAGAACGCAGGCGCGGTAGTACCTCTGGATGATGACGGCAGACAGACGCATGGCTCGGAATTTGACTTCCTCTCTGTGCTTTCTGAAGGCAGACTGGATGACAGTGGCGGCCTGATGCCAACCAGCAACCTGCTTTCTGACCTGCCGACCCCTGAATGCTGCCTGGAGGACGACAGCAGCACGGCGCATTGATTGGTATTCGTGCATTTGTACTCTTGCTGCTGCAGTGGCCCGATACCTCTGCTGAATGGTGAGGACGGAGGACCTCAAGGTCAGATACTGCTTGCACTGAGAGTGGGCTCTAAAGGCTCTCTGGATCACACTGGCAGCATGATGCCTGCGTTTAAAGAGTCGTCTGGATTTCATTCCTCGAAGGGCCGCTTGTAAGACAACAGCAGCCTTTCTCTTCGCATTCAGGGATTGCATCTCCTTTCTCATTTCCTTTTTGGCTCTGTAACTCGCTTGCAAAACTGCTGCAGCCCACTGGAGATTCTTGTAGTAGGTTCTATGTTGGTGCTTCCGGAAGTGCGACTGAATGGTCACAGCTGCAGAATGCATCATACGCAACTGCTTCCTCACCCTGCGTCCTCTGTGAGCTGCCTGCAGACAAATGACTGCGGTTCGCTTGGACAGATAGTCCAAGCGTTCTTTTCTGCCCAGCGTCACTGCTCTGCGCCGCCGCTGAATAACCAAAGCGGCTGCCTTGAGGGCCAGGAACTGGTTTCTACCCCTGATGGCGAGAAACTTCCTCTGAATGACTGTGGCTGCTCGGTGCATCTCTGCCACCTCGCTCCTCGCCCTGTAGCCGCGATATGCTGCCTGGATTGTTACGACCGCAGACTTCATTGTCCTGTACATCTGCATCTGCCGGTTCCTGAGCATTTTGGCCCTGTAGCGTTCCTGAACCATAATGGCGGCGCACTTGGTGGCGAGGAAGGCCATTCGCATTCTGTGCATCCTGAACTGAGCTTGGATTGCGCCGGCAGCTTTGTGCCTCTTCTTCAGAGCGCGCCGGTCTCTACGTCCACGGTGCGCCGCCTGTATCTTTACGGTGGCCTGCTTTAGCGCGCCGTACGCTTTCCGCTGTGCCCTGCAGGCCAGAAGAGCTCGGTATCGGCTCTGGATGACGATCGCCGCGCTCTGCAGGAGGACGTACCGTTTACGGCATAAAAACATCCTCACCGAAGCCTGAACGACCGTCGCTGCCCGGTGCCTTTGCTTCAGCTCGGCCCTGACTCGCATGCCTCTGAAAGCAGCTTGCAGAGCCACACAGGCCGCTCTGGTGCGCAGGTACGCTTTCCTCGCCTCCTTCCCAGCCGCGTGCGCCCTGTAGTGACGCTGTACGACCACGGCGCACGCTCTCTTGGACCGGTACGCTGCTTGCGCCAGGTGGCGCCGGTAGTGAGCCTGGATGAGTGTCGCACACTGACGGCGCTTCTCCGCCGCCTTCCGCTCGGCGCGGCTTCTCCAGTTAGCCTGTATGACCAGCGCGGCGTTCCTTTGGGCGTCGTAATCCTTCTTGGCCTCGAGAGCCAAAACCGTGGCTCTGTATTTCCGCTGAATCACAGCTGCCGCCCTTCTGGCGTCGCGGTAGCGCCGCCGGGCGGCCCACATCCTGAACGCGGCCTGGATGGCCGCGGCCGCCTGGTGAAGACGAATGCATTTTGGCACAATCGGAGGCTGACAGCCCGACAAAGTCTGTGCTTCTGGTGCTCGTTCACGGCTGTTGTCCTCGGGGGGGAACAACGGAAATAACACGGACTGACCCGTAGGATCACAAGACTGTAATAATACAACATGACGCATGGGGACACACAGCACACGCTTTGCATGAGTGATACTAAAAGTTCCAGAAAGTCCTCTGTGCCATGATGGATCAATTCTTAGACTCTTCAAAATACACATCTTTAGTAGCCAATCACATTTGTGTTGACATTTTTCAACCAGAAAATAAAAACCATACTTTGTGATAACTTGACACTTCTGTGACTGACGTGAGGAAACATTTATGATCACATTAAGTTTGACCAGACAGCATCAACAACAAAGGCAACAAACAAATATCATGTGTAAAACAAGGCAAGCTGAGTGGAAATATATGAGTAGTTTTGTTTAAAACGGATTACTCGATGTTTGTGAATATCTGCTGATGATGAAATAGTTTGATTACAACACTCTTCACGCTTCATGGACAGTGTGGACACTTGAGCAAAGTCCATGGAGAAAATAGTTATGTGGATCGATCAGTCAATAAAGTAATTAGATCACATGAGAGAGGATCACTGTTTGTTTTGCACTACGTAGATTCTTACTTCAAAGTAACAAACGGTTTCATTTCTCAAAATACTCAAAACATCGTGTTGAGCAACATTCAGCAAGTGGAACCCCGATTCTTACTACAAACTAGTTTAAGGTTTCCTTTGTCTTCTGACTGGATGTCAGCAGGTAAATGATCAACAGAGAGCAGGTGCAAATACTACAAACATCACAAATGATAATGTTCGGTTTTATTGACTAGTTCCTCTACAGCACTTTTAGTTCCTTTGTTGCTGTATTTTCTGTGTATATTTTAGTCCCTCTTGTATTTCTAAATAATTTTAATACTTCTTGTTTTTGAATGTCCTTCGTGAAACCTTTTTCTCTATTTAAAGCTCTTTAAATTGTTGCTTAGTTTGAAAAGATCTACAAAGGAAACTTATTTCCATTTGCTCATGCAAAGCAAACGATGAGATGCAGGAATCAAGTTAACCACAACACTGTTGTACTTCTACATAAGTTAAATACATTTAACTGTATGTTGGTAATAGACTAACGTAGATATAATACATTGTTATTGGCATGATTAATAAGGACTGCAATTTTTTTTTCAGTTTCTAGTTTTAAACAAAGTACAATATATATATATTTTAATATGTCTATGTACTGCATTGTTATATATAACACTTATTGTCCTAAATGTTAATGCTCTTTTGGAAAAACCTTCCGAATACAATGTTATAAACACACAAATAAACACATTTAGCCGAACACTTTTACTGAACATTGGGCTTTTGTTATAACACGGTTCTTTGCAGTGTTACTGGGACAGAGTTACTACTATGTGTCCTTTATTGGGCTCGGCAGTATAAAAAACTCTTCCTCAAAGCAACAGACAGCGTGTTTCTGTTGGATAGGTTTAATATGGAGCAGTCTGAAACTATAAACTATCAAACAGGTAACAAACATAGTTTCACCAAACTCTGTTGGGATTTAGAATATTAATGTCGCTTAAGTCAGAGCACACATGCTAACAAATCAAGACAAATCACCACTAAATAACGAAGTAGTGGAAACATTCATTCCTGTGCCATCTATCCATATTCCATTAGTTACATGTTGTACAATACACAGAAGTATAGACAGCAGAAAGGAACATCTCTGGTTCCTCTCTTTACTCTGGTTGTCTATCCAGCTCACGTTTGTATCTCTTCTGATTAACTGAAACCTTCACTGGCAAGTGGGCAGCAGCATCACCCCATCAACACACATCTGACGCATTCCAATTGTGCCAACATGAGATGTTCCACTGGTACAGGTGAATCCAATCCATTCAAGATGGACTGAATACAGCTTATCATCCGGTTTATGTCGGAATCTGATATTATGCGAGCGCATGGCTTCTTCATCAACAGTGCAGGGTTCTGTAAAAGATAACAGATAAACAGAATTGTTTTAAAGGGGAAGGACTGAGCATACTGGATATACAAGTATAGACCCTGCAAGATAAGCAGGTCCTCTATGATAGATTCTATAATCTATAACATGTTGCTTCAATACTCAACATAATCAAGCCCCTCCATGCAAACACTTGATACCACAATATTACTTTTACATCCAGTTTTGGATGAGAAGAGTCTGGGAATGTAAATTACTTACTGAGACACTTCATCTCTCCAATCCATTTTCCATTCTTGCAGGTTCTGTAGGGCCCACCCTCCAAGGTATGATAAGCTTTACAGCTATAATGAACCTTTTCATCATGTTTGTAGTCACTCCGAGAAGTTTCTGTAGTGTCTCCATTGGTGAGAAAAGGTGGGCTGCCACAATCCAGAGAATCTAAAGCTATGTAGAAAAACATCACATAGAAATTAAATCAAATGAATCAGTATTTTTCTTACAAAAGACTTTGAAAGTACACACAGACGCTTTATTGGCCTCAACCTGTCAAAACAAATACACATTTTCCTTCATGAAGGTTACAATTTTCATGGCTTTTGGGATTCCTTTTTATGGTATTCATGTTTTTTTTTCCATCTGCTCATGCAAAGCAAACTATGTGATGCAGGAATCAAGTTAACCATAACACTGTTGTGCTTCTACATAAGCTAAAATAAATTCAACTTTCCTGGTAATCTTAGGATTTTTATGCATGCTGTATGTTGGTAGGAGAATAATGTAGGTATTATGCATTGTTATTGTCATCTGTAGATGTCATTTGAAAACATTCACATTTTCATAAGGAGGATTTTGTGTTTTGTTACTACAGTTGGGAAGAATTTGACAAATGTGGAATTGGCAAAGTGTGTTACTTTAATGCCATTCATTCTTATTTCAAAAAGGTTAACATATATATCTATTTCTGAAATTAAAAACAGTGCTGGGTAAGTGAAATGTCTGAGATAATCCTTCTATTTAAATTTCACATAAATCTAGAGTCGCAATATTGAGAGAATCACTGAATTTGTTCTTCCAAGATTAAACAGTTTTAAAAGTAGTTCTAAAACCTTGACCTAATGTTGACACAGTACATGCATTCATATAAACTGCTGAGTTGTGTACTTACATGAAAATATTTACACATTTATTTAAAAAACTATGTAGTGTACGCAAAGTTTGGCAGGATTATTACACACCTTAAATGCTCTAAATGCCCTTCCATCACTTTTTAAATCCCCAGACCTTTAATTAATAAGGACCTGGTTTTGGAATCGAATTATCAAAAAGACCCAACAGAATACATCAGTGGGAATAATGCATTCATGGTATTTTTATTGATTCTTAATTAGAGCATCATCAGAATCAGCATCTCGTTACACCATTTTTAATCAATTCTCGAGTGGTTAAAATGAATAAATCCAGCAATAAATCGGTGTTAGAAAAGTACTCACCCCAAAACTGCTGCAACAACTCCTTGAGAGCATTCATATTGCCATCATATACTTCCATCATTATCTTCTTTCTACTTTTACACTTTCTAAACTTTTGTTGTACAGATTTATGACAAGAAAACCTTTACTAATTGTCATGTTCCAAGCTTTCAGATGATGAGCACTATTTCTGGTGTATACTGACCTATTTCCCTCCCTATTAAGATCCCTTGTCACATATAAAAATGGGCTTCTCTAAGTGTTTTTTTACTAATGCTTTTTGTTTTAGTTTTTTTCTTTTTGATAGAGCAAGGACTGTGGATTTTGTTCCCCATCTGTGTTCTATAGTGTTGTTGCATTGAGGTAAATATCTACAGCCAGTACGAAGAAGAATGGTTACAGCGACCTAAAACTCTTTCAACTCACAGTCTTTTGTGAATATCGCATTGACATAGACTTGCTGAAACAGCACTTCAAGTCTGCTTTCACTTACACCTCTTCTTACCTTCACATTCTCTTGTTTTATTCCACTTAGTGTTGACGCATGTTGCAATGCCTTCGAGATTATTTATGTCACAGCGATACCTTATGAACTCCTCATTCAAATATATTTCTTTGTCTGCAGTGAAGGTCATTGACTCGTCCCTGAGCTTGTCACAGTATGCTGAAATGCAAGATGTAGTATCATTATATATATATATATCAAATATTCCACCAATTATTTTAACTGAATTGCTACAGTATAAAACACAACTCTTTATTGTGTTGTTGTTACATTTTTATACCCTCACCTGTTGTTTTGTGGGCTTTTTATATTTTGTTTTCTACTGTATTTGTACAATTAAACTCTATGTAAAGGATGTGGGAAAGAAAGGCAGGACCAGAGTCTTATTCCATGTATGCATAACCATACCTGGCCAGTAAAGCCGATTCTGACATCTTCATGTATGTCATTACGTCATATGTATCTTTATGTCATCTAAAATTGTCCTAGAGCTTCCTTTGTGCGACTTTGTGTAAAGCTTTGTGTACGTACGTGTGCAAGTAATGATGTTCTCCATCCATTGGCCATCTTTGCATATCATTTTACCTTGACCCTCCATCATATAATTGTCACGGCACTGATATGTTACTTCTGAATCAGAGAAGTATTCCCTCTGATAGGAAGCCTTAATAATACTGTTCTCAACTTTAGGTGGTGGGTTGCAGGATTTAGCAGTTGCTGCAAGATATGAAAACGTAAACAGCATTAGGCCCTGTAATCCTGTGTAAACATGCTGAATTACATCTGATAGAATCAAATTCAAGACGACTCACATGCACAGATTGTTTGGGGGGGTAATCCATTTGAAAGCCATTCTCCCTCGCTACAAGTCAGGTCTTTAACTAGTACGCCGTCTCCTGTGTTACAAGTAATCTGGAACTTCTTTTTATGGCGAGGACGTTGGGTGACTCCTCCATTAAAAATCTCAGGCAACTTTCCACACGTTGTATTCGCTAGAAAGAATATGATTACAAACGATTAGGTCTGTAGATCATTGCTAGAAAATGTGATAGGAGTAATACATGAGTTATTATAAAATTAGCTTTCATCAAAGATTTGGCATGAAGAAAAGAGCTTATTGAAACAATATACTGCAATGTATTCCTATCAGATATGAGTAATGGGGAAAGGATGCGTACGAGGGAGTGGGTTCAACCTAAATACGTTTACATCCTTACAAAATCTTTGTTCCTCAATAAAATCTTTGGCGTGTCTTTTGCGTGTAGTGCATTTAAGATGATTTACCAATACAATCTTCCAATCCAGACCACTTGCCGTTTTTACATTCCGCTGTTGCCCACCAGCCTTTGGTAAAACGTTTATAACCTTCTCTACAAGCTGTGTAGTACACATCATTGTATGGACCAGCTACAATTCCATTTAGTACATCCGATCCTGAACATCGGCCTTTCACTGAAAAACAAAACAAACACATGAAAAACCCATACGGTTGAATAGCGAATGGTAGCATGCTTACACATATAACTAAGAAAGTCATTTTTCTGCATGCTAATGTCATTGTAAATAAGCAGATGTTGGTCAAAGCAATGCTGTGTAAACATACAGAACATCCTCACAAAGCTGCTTGCAAAGCTTTAGGTTATTTGGTCTGATAAAACAAAAGAGACTCTTTCACAGACTAAACATATTTTAAATGTGCTTCAAGAGCAGCATTAATCAGACTTGTTTGTCTTGATGGGAGAGAATTGAAAAATAGACAATGAACATCTTCAATTGTATTACCAATGATAACCAAATCAATACGGCAATCTTGTGAGAAATATACTATTTCTTTAAGGATGGAAAAAAAGGAAAACAAATTTTGCCAGACAAATTGGTGGAAGTTAGAAATGTAGCTGTAGATTATTGACATTTCAAATTAAATAAAAATTCAGTTTAGCATTTTGCAATAGCAAAAAAGGTCGTTTCCAGCTTCTGAAGAGTTATGTATTTACACAAAATATAAAATGGCAACAATATATCATTAACCAATTAACAAACGTGTGTAGAGGGGGGATTTGGTTTTCCAGAGCAATTACAGTAAAGAAAAACAATAAGAAACTAAAATGATCCTTTCCCACTTGTATGTATCTATGCATGTATGTGTATAAATAAAACAAAAACAAAACAAAAATAAACAACAAAAATAAACGTAATGTCATTGTAAAAGCACTCATTTGAAATACCTTGACAAAGAGGATTTGGTGTCCATCCCTCTCTGGTGCATGTAGCCAAGTCAAAACCTACTGGCTTCTTGTAGTCCTTCACACAGCTATATCTTGCAGTCTCATCCAATGTTATTCTTCCACGCCATGGAACACCCCAGTTATCCACATGTTGCGGTTTTTGATTGCTGCATGTAACCTCTAGAAGAAGAGAGATACTAATTTGAATAATAATGATGTGATCGATCCTCATAAAGAACTAAATGTCATAATCTGTGTCTTGTATTGAGCCCTTGTAGTTCCATACCTTGGCATACTGGTCTGAGGTTCCACTCTCCATTCTCTTTGCATGTAATCTCTGCTGATTTTATCAGACGGTTATCAATCCAGTACTTGTTTCCACAAGTGACTCTCACTGTTTCGCCAGGTGAAAACACGTTGGTGGATACAGGTTCATACTGTGTTCCCTCCTGTGATCCCAGTGGCAGTTCACATACTATTGCTTCATTTTTGGGAAATTAAGCATTTTAACTGTTAGAACCAATTTTCCCCAGCCATTGTGATACAACCATCAAATTAGATTACTCGGTTTATACTTACGTTTACATAAAGGTGTGGGGCTCCAGTTTGCTCTTATTCCACTTTTGACGCATTTTGAAGGTTTTCCATCACCAGCTTTGTATGAAGGATTACAACGGAAGGACAGATACTCGTTTTCTTTATACTTATCTACATTCCCATTCACAAAGCCATTTTGAATATTGGGTACTGTACAGGTTATCTCTGTTGAAAGATCAGTAAAAAAGCACATACAATAATAAGTATGACATCTTTAATATAAAGTAAATTCACAGTAACCACTTCTTGACCTTATTCTAGTGTAAAATAATAAGCCAATTTTAAACCTTCAGAATTAATGTACAAGAATGACGACTCTTGTGTGAAAAGTGTGGTAAGGCTTTAGGATTGGGTGGTATTTTTGGTTTTTCACATTCTCATTTCCCTTTTTTTCCAGATTATTCTGAAATTTATCAGTTGATTTTCAGTCTTATTTGATTTTTGGGTCACCGCTAGAAAGCCAGAACATAAGAGGCCAGAAGGAAGACAAACTAAACTACAAAGAGCCGGTGTTCTTTGTATTGGTGCAGCACATCCCATGCTGGGTTAAGTCTGTATTTGTGCGATCTGTCCTCACCGTTGACTAAAAAATCTTGGAAAGCCTGCTGTACCTTCGCATATAGGAGCTTTGCCATTCCACGCTCCATTTTCATCACAATACAGTTCTTGTGACCCGGAAAGGATTTTGTCTCTGGATTTGCAGCTGAATCGAAGGACATTGCCGTAGGCTGCTTCTTCCGGGTTTCCAACCACCTGGACATTGTCGTCCACATCGATCGGTGGGCACTGTCGGGCTGGAAGGAAAAAAGACTGAATATGAACATTCTTCAATATTTCCTTGCTTGTTTGAAAGGCACTGAACAAATATGATCCTTGTTTTCAACTTCACCTTCACAGACAGGAACCACACCATCCCAGCCTGCAGCCAAGCAACGCCGGATGTTTGAGCGACTGACCATTTGATAACTGAAACAAGTATTGTGTAGAACATGGATCGTGGAAATGCCTTATTAAAGGTCAAATGTAAATTGCACCGCTTTTTATAAAGATACGAGAAAACATAAAAATGACCACAATACATATTAGTGTGTAAATATTGTCCTACCCTTTCTGGCAGGTGTACACAACTTGTGACCCAAAGACAAAATCCTCTCCCTTTTCCAGATGAAAATCTGCAGAGTCGGCTTCACCAGGGTGGCCACATGATCTTACTTGAAACAGGGATGAAAGAGAAAGTCGGTAAATATATTTCTACACCGAAAAATACATTGATGATTCAGATGTATCTCCATTCAACAATAAGTAGTACACTATATTGTTGTTATATCTTATGAAAAAATATTTGACAATAACAACACTTTAAAGCACTCATTTGAGAGAAATGAGTGTAACTCACGTTCACATGCTTTGCCTTTTGACTCCCAATTTCCTTGGACACACATGAGTTTGAAAAAGCCACTGTAGCCAACGTTGCATCCCACTCTCACTTGTTCTCCAGCAGGGTAAGTGGCCGCCAGATTGGTTATGTCATAATTCGAATCAAACATGGGGCCAGTTACAAACTGTTCAAGTGTACATTCTATGGGAGAACAAAAAACATATAAATATTAATCGTTTGGCATTATTGAACCCCCACTCCTCCCCGCGAACACACATAACACACACCAACAGAACATCAAGTCAACAAGGAACAGGAACTCTACAAACTTGCTTGAACTACTTGGTCTTACCTTGACTTTTCACAAAGGTCAGAGTATACATCCACAAAAATAGGACACAGCTTTGGGTTTTTACACCCATTTTCTCTTCATAAGCTTGAGCCACCAAATGGAAGTAGAAACTGACGAAACACTATTATAGAGAGAGCTGTGAGGTCCACTGGCAAAAATAGATTGCTCAATGATTTACGCAGGTCTGTTCCAGCCCCCAAAGACGGGCTCAGGCTCATCGGGCCAAACAAAAAAAGAAGAAGCGACCACATAAAGAATCACTGCATACGAGATCTATATTGCAAATAAGCTAAATGAATCGTGGAAATGATTTAGCAGATCACACAAAATTAAAAGCAATATAATGAGTTTGCATTGCTCTTTTTCATTCATTGACATAGAGTATTCCGGTAAGTGTTTGTTTTTTTCCTTCCGTGGTAATCATTTGCAGCGAATCAATCCAGCAAACAAATGTGTTGCATACAGAAAGTCAGTAAACAGTTCCAATCTAAAGTAAACATTAAATGAAAAAAGCTGATGGGCAATCCAGGTGTTCATCCCAAAAGTGCACAAAAGTTTTCTTATTAATTAATATGGCTAAATGTCACAATCAAGGCTCAAAAGTTACGTTTATCTGAACATTAGTCTGTGGCCTCGGAAAACGGTGGAAATAGCCGCCAAGAAGTCCGGGGGAACCATTATGCAGCTCCTACACCAGTTTAGAAACCACTATAAAAGATAAATGTAGCCGTTGAGCAATGCAGGATTTGCCTTCATTTCCCAACATGTCTTCATGTTGTTTAAACAACATGTTACAGGAGTAATGTGTGTCTGCCACACTGAAAACACGTAAACATATTATATTCAATCTGCATTTGTGCTTTACATGTCTGTCTTTATATTGACTGTATGCTGAAGGGTTGGATTAGTTTCAATGCCATACTGTGTGATGTATTTGTGTTAAGTGGCTGTGAAATGCAACCGCTGTTGGCTTTTTGTCTCCATTACTGACAAATGCGAGTGATTTGATCAGATTCTGGGTTTTGTCTAATAAAACCACAGATGACATTTTAAACCCTTGGATAACCTTAAACTGCTCATGAAACAGTTACACATAATACTGATGCAACTTTAAAACCTAAAAGTTAATAAGAACGTCAGCAAGAAGATTGCTAAATAGTTATTCAGGCCACCAGGTCGGGCGCATATATGTCTCTGGATTGGATTTCACAACATTCACGACCTGCTAACTGAGTATAGCCAAACTCTGCCCCCTTTCTCTCTGCGGCACAATTGAAGTCAAAACATGCAAACATCGCTTTGTGACAAAAGGATTATTAAAAGATAAAGAAATGAAAGGAGGAGGTTATGCTTTTATGAAGTCAATCCCGTAATAGAAAAGGAAGAACAGGGTGTATACCATATAAAGTTACAGTTACATAAAGTTACAAATACTAATACAGAGAGGAGGTTAAAACAGACGGCTCTGAATATTCAAAATACAGTTAAAGACAAGCAGAACAAAGCAAACCTGAAGTAAGATGTGTTTACTTCTTCTGCAAGAAACAGTCCATCTGCTGCGTTTTTAGTATGCAGTTATAGAAATTATTTAGTAAAGCAGGCAAGACATCAGGATAACACTTATTATATTATTACATAATATATGGCGCACTTTACAGCTCTCATGTTAATCTACCTATCCAACAGGAAATACCTAATTCATAAAATACAGTCTTGGTAAAATACTCCCCATGGTGGTTTTTGGCATCCTTTTTATATTCTTCCACTAGAGGACAGAAGTGATCTACATAGGTGGAAGAGCAGCAAACTGAGGGGTGAAAAATTACACATTTTCTAAAATTAACACATGGTTAGAAAAGAACAAAAATGGACGATGTTTTTACTACTTCCAGTAACCCTATTAAGGACTTGATCCTTCTTGTTGACCTGGTTAGTTTCAGTTGTGTGTTAAGAGAAATTATTTAGAAGAGGACAGACTGCACAGACTGTTTACGTATGGAAGAAACAGAAACTCTGCTTCACGCATTGAATTGCATATTTCCACCCAACAGGATGGATAGAGTATAAGGAGCTGAAATTAACTATTTCAGTTCTGGCGCTGACTTAAACCTCTGCAATGTTACAACATTGCTATTCAAGTTGCCTTTCTGAATTGAAAGATTTTAGCAAAATGTGAAATTTTAAATTGTATTTAAGAACAGCTATTAACCACTTTATCAAAAACAAAATAAATCTACTGTTAAGAATAAGTCATCTAAATGACAATTAACCTTAAATTTGTATTTGTATTGTTTTTTTATTTTGAATGAATACCCATATTTTTATATCGAGTATTGCATGTGTCTTTAAGACCCTACCATGCAGAGCAAACAGTGTAATGCTCCTGATGAACAGGGATTCTCAGTGGGTCTGTTTGAGGCTCTTGCTTGAGTAGTTAGCAGGTTTTCTTTGGATAATTCCAGCCTGTTTATTCGACGGGATGAGCATGAATATCAAGCTCGCTGCAAACACACAGCCAAGTTCTCCCTAAGGATATCAGCTTAATGCTAATGATATACAGTAAGCACTAGCGTTTATTTTTGCAGGTTAATGAACTGGTTGTTTCAGCCAAGTGTGAAATTTCATTTTCAAACTGCAGGCTGATGTGTGAAAATGACAGACTCTCATTATAAACTTATTGTTTGCCTTCATCGGCTTTCGACAGAGTCGGTATTAATTCGCGTTCCACTGTTTCTCTTGCTTTGATCCTCAAGTCTCTTACCTGCTGACTGTCAAGAAGAAAGGCCCTGTTAAAAAAAAGAAAATGGCTGACCGGCTTAAATTTGATACATCTTTTCTCAACTGCTGAACTTCATACAGCAGCAGGAGGACTGTGAATGATTTAGAGTGATGAAACAAGAGGTTTCTGTAGACCGTAGTCTCAGAAAACCAAAATCCAGACCATCCAAACATTGGAAACAATACCAGTAAAAAAAGTGCATAAGACCAGCATAGAACACCATAAATTGATAGTCTCATATGTTTCCTAATCACTCATAGTATTGAATTATCAGTGAATATCATCTAAATCTCTCCTTGCTATAGATATCTCATTGTTTAGCCGTGTAGCAATGTCTGACTGTCAATCTATCAGCACTTAGAAACCACTAAGGACCAGGTTTGCTCTTGCGGTTTGTGTCGTGTACTGTGTGTTTGTGATTGCTGATACCACTGTGTGTTTGTCATATTCACAAAAAACGACAACCACGTATGGTTGAATGCAGCACTTTGATGGGAACATTTTGTGTAATATTCATTTCTGCTATTAATTTCAAGCTGCCAGACCCACCATTAGAAATGTTAAATAATACATTGCAATTATTTTTTTAATCTCCTCTTTTGCAACATCTGTATTCGGATAAAAACTTTTAATCGCAACTTTAAGGGAGGTAGTAAACCACACTTGATATTGAGAAAGTAGTTAAAACTTTCGAATAATTATTCAATGCAGACAAAATTGGCACCATGACAGGCCACACCAATGCCTACCCCTGACCTAACCCATCAATTGTTCAAACACCATCACTGCGTAACTCATTCCACCAATCTTACAGACGATCACTTTTTTAAAATGATGTACTTGTCTATGGGTGAAGACATTACATCAACCCAACCACCGAGATCTTCACCGGCTAGACGTCAGTCTCTGCAGCCCACATTCTTGTTTAAAAATGAGGCTGCTACATTTGAGAAGTAGGGGGACCCAACCAATCCAGGTGATTGGAATGGGAGGAGCCAAAACCAAGGCCCGGTGAGTGGAAGCTCCCACTGGAGGGAGGAGGCATGACGACCCCTGCTGCCTCACTCTCTCACTGTGCATTGACATTGATGGTGGTAACGCTGACGAACAGCCCGGTATGCTGAAAGATTCTCTCATGTCTTCAACATCTTCTGTCAGGGGGGCCTCAACTCACTAGAAAAGAAAGGCAAAAACCACAGCAAGGACATCTTAACTGCTCGGGTGGAAGCAGTGGGCGGCGGGTGACGTGACGTACCGGTGACTATTGTCATGGATGTGGAAAGCCACTGTCTCAGCAGGGACGACAAGAGGCATTGGCAGAGCTTCGTCGGCTGGGAGGGGTGAGAAGGTGGTTTCTTTTCTGCGTCAAATTACTGTCCCTGCAATGAGGGTGGCAAATCTAAACCTGAAACTGTTCTTGTCAATTATTCTTTTGTGACTCGGAACTGAAAGGGTCGTCGTGGCACAGGGGTTAGAGAAGGTGTGCTGGGAAGCACAAGGTTAGTGGTTCGATTCCAGGCTGCCCCATGTTCCATGTCGAAGTGTCCCTGAGCAAGACACCTAACCCCTAATGTGCTCCCCGGGCAAAAATGTGAAAAAGCCATGGGTTTAAA